CCAGTACAGCCCAGTTGCCCCCGGTTCAGCCCAGCACCTCACACACAGCCCCATCCCCAGTACAGTCCAGTGCTCCCAGTTCAGCCCAGCACCTCACACACAGCCCCATCCCCAGTACAGCCCAGTGCTCCCAGTTCAGACCATCACCCACAGTCCCATCCCCAGTATAGCCCAGTGCTCCCAGTTCAGACCAGCATCCCACACACACGCATTCCCTCAATCAGCCCAGTGTCCCATGACACCACTCCCTGTTCCACACACCCCCAGTTTATTCCAGTGCTTTACATGCCTGCAGCCAGCACCTTCCAGCTCATCCCAGTGCCCCCAGCATGGCCCAGCACCCCCAGTTCAGCCCCATACCCAGGCCATGGTGGCCCCCAGCCCTGATCCCTCCACAGGGGCTACCGGGTCCCGGACTGCCCAGTGTCGTTTCTCTTGGCCACTTTGGGTCATTGGTGGCTTTTCAGCCAGTTCAGTCATTAACATCTCCAGAGCTGGTGTCAAAGAGCAGCAAGTGCTCGTCACCCCCCATGGGTTGTCATCCTCATGGAAAGGGTGGCCAGGCACTGGAACTGCCCAGAGCAGTGGTGGAATCACCATCCCTGGAAGCGCTCAAAAACGAGTGTTTGTGAGGACATGGTTCAGTGGTGGGCTTGGCAGGGCTGGGTTAATGGTTGGGCTCAGAGGGCCTTTCTAGCCCAAATGATACCATGATACCAGGGTGCCTGCAGGAGGCTGGCTGGGGAAGCCAGTCCTCTGGGCTCCCGGTGCTCATGGAAAGGCTGGATCAAGCTTGTTGCTCATGTTCACAATCTCAGGAAGCCTCACAGCTCTGATACAACCTGCCTCATGGTTCCTATGCATTTCCTCCTGCCTCTGGATTAGGAAGGGTGACATTACTCGCCTGGCACTCTTTGGTATCTCCATCTTATTTTGTGTTTAACCGAGATCAGAAATTATCAGCAATTATATTAGAGGATGTCCTGGGGTTTTATCCAAATTCTTCTGTATTTGATTGCATTAATAAGATATTTGACCACCTTGAGATATTCCCACTGTGGATTTTGCTGTGCAGTCCCCCCAGGGACATGGTGCAGGGGTGGGTGGCTGCTGAGGGAGATGAGCAGCACAGTGTAATCTGCAGGGCCATTCTCCACAAGGCCAGAGATAACAATTGAGCGAGAGGAGGTGACGCTGAGGGGACAGAGTTGTCTAGGGGTGATTAAAGAGCAGTCCCATTATCGCAGCAGAGCACTCCTCATGCACCAGCACTGGGCAGCCACGTTAAAATTTCGCAGTATGTCTGCTTCAAAATATAATTTCACTTTCTTAAATAATAAATTACAGACATATCTGTCATTTCCATCTCTTGGAGGTTCAGTAGCAGTTAGTTAGTCTTCTAGTTCTATTAAAGCAAAGATTGCAAGTTCTTCAAGCACTGGTAGGAAATTAAAGAGTAAAGCCAGGATTTAGACTCCACTTTTAAGACTTCAAAAACTTAATATGCCTTGAATATTTCAGAGTTAGAGCAGATATACGTGCCACTTAATCCACAGCATTCTCCTTGAGGGGAAGACAGTTTCTGGAGATAATACAGGTGTATGGGGAAAGTTATCCCTGATCTCCCAGCAATGCCATTCAAGAGGTCACTGGATTTACAATCAGGGCTGACAGAAATTATAATCCCACTTTTATAATTAGCTAACAGGCCTGTTGCTCTCTTCTGCTGCTTAAAATGAGAAACTCAGACAGCTGGCTTTTAGGACAGGATTAAAACAAACCTACATTAATTTAAAAAAAAAAATCACTTTTGGTGATTTTACGACAAAGATCCATCATCTGCCCAAGAGTGGACATTCTGCTGTGAGTTTATGGATCATCACGAGAAGCAGCAGCAAGAGAGGAAGGCAGGTCTGGTGGACTTTCCCAGAGGACGTGATTTCAGTGTCAGCCCTGTGACAGAGGAACACCATCAGTCATGTTGTCCAGCTCCTTGTGTTGCTGTGGCCAGGACCCCCCTGTCTCACTGCCCTATGGGCAGCTGGAGCACTGGGATGAGGAACTTGGCTGAGAGGTCCATGCAAAGCCAGAGACAGTCACTTCCCACAGCGTGTTATATTCCACAGGTGAGGGTCATGCTTTTCCCTCCGAGCACATTCCTGAGGAGTTTCCACAACCATTCCCAGCACAGCCCTGATCCTCGGGGAGCAATGAGCTCCTTCTAGTGAACCACTGTCACCTTTTGGCTGCTCTGGCATTTGTGATAGTGCAAGAGTAACTCTCAGAAAAAGAATTCAAATTCCACAGCGTTTTCAGTGATGATGACTCCTCCTGTGCAGACATCACTTTAAGCATTGTGCCTACACAGACCTTAATCCTCCAGTCACAGAGGACCAATGTTCAGGTTACACAGTGGGCAGCAAAATAGGAAGGAATCCTCAGGGCCTGTGCCTTATCCCTGTGTATATCTGGGTCACAGCATTGATTGAGTAACCCCTGATTAAAAGCACTCTCACTGAGGAGAGCTTGGAGCACAGCCATGGACACACCGTGTGACAGGCAGCACTTTGGGGAGGAGACAAAAACATTATATAAATGGATACTTCACAACAGCATCTTTATTTTGCAAAGTAATCTTTCTATGGGAAAACTGCAAGTTCTGGAAATGTGTGTAGCAAGGGATGATGAAGGCCTCCTTTGGTAATGCCATCCATTTAAGATGTATAAACTGAATATTGTGTTGTCCTGTGCCCTGGCTGCTGCCCATGCTGCACTTTGAATTGGAGACTGCACTGCTCTGCATCTGTGTAGCCAGAGTTAGCTCCAGGTTTTCAGGGGACATGTATGGCATTATCAAAGGGAAGATATACAAAGAGCTCTCTGATAATATTTCCTATAGTAATGTGATTGTTCTCCCTTGGTCTCAGGTGAGCCCCCTCTTGTATCCCCTCTCAAAGTCAATTATCCAGCCCGTGGAAAGGAGGGCTGAGGAGGAGCTGTGGCACTGAACACAATCTGAAATTAAATCCCAGATGATGTGTTGGCCTCCACAGAGGGGGTGATAATACAAGATCACCGAACCCAACCAGGCTTGCAGATCAAGAGGCACCAAGTGCTTTGTGCCTGCCCTTTGGGGAAGCCCAGGGTTTCTCCTGATTCATGTGACAGGTGGCATGCAGAGAGGCTTAAATTCAGGGCCCAGCACAGAGTACAAGGGGTGGGTAAGAGTCCTTCTGGAAGTGCCACTTGCCCCAGGACACAGGGGACACCAGAGCATACAGAAGTTGCTGTCTGACCCCATCCCTACTGCTTTTCTGGTACCACTGGTTCATTCCCAGCCGATTCCAGGACGCAGCGGAAGAGCCACACTCCCAGGAAAAGTGGGGTTTGTAGTGTATGGATCAACTCCTCCAGGCTATGGAGTCTGCCCAGAGAAGAGAGACCTGTCACCATGTGGCAGCAAAGAAGAAACTCCTGCCACACACACAGCACACATGGCTCCCACCCCAAACCCAGCCCCTGCCTGGCAGCACAGCACAGCCTCACCCTGGCTCCCAAGAGAGGCTCCAAGGCTGGTGCACACTCCAGGTGTGACACCCATACTTTGGTACAGGCTGGACATACTCCAATCCACACGTGACCCAAGGACCAATAGATCCCTAGAAAGGCTTTCCCCTGGCTGGGGATCACCCTCTGTAGCAGTGCGGTACCATTGCTGTGAAACGCAGACACATCTTGGTGAGGAATCTGGCTGAGACACACCAACCTTCTCTGCTCAAGTGTGTGGGACTGTTTGGGCAGAGAACATTGTCTGACCCCTCTGACTGCACCAGCCAGCTTTCCATGCAGGGCTGCCAGTGCTCAGTGGTGATGTGTGAGGCTGCTGCAGCTTATCAGCATGGCAGAGAGATTTACCTCTGCTTCATGTGTTGGCAGGATATTCATGCCCAGAGGTTCAGCAGCAACCATTTCCAGTAGGGTATTTCTTTGACACTTTGCCCACTTATCTGTGATTACAGACTTGTGCTGGTCTTCGTTTTGCTTGTTTGGTCCTTCACCCATCCAATGTGCCTGTGTTCTGATGCTACCAACCATTTATTATGGGATCAGGCATTCCTGTGCATGTCCAGCACTGGCTGTGGTGCTGAGGGCTATTTTTCAGTACCAAGGGTAATGAATATCAGGATCACACAGTTAGAAATTAAAGACATGCAATAGGAGGCATTTAGTGATGAAAACAAAAAGTCTGACTGATCTTTCTCAACACACACTTTTTTTTAGGACCATACTCAATTTCACAAACTCTCTTAACCATAGGAAACATTACTACCACTGCTGTTATAATCCATATCAATTGCAGAGTAGGTCCCTAATTCTCTAAGAGTCTGGCAAAGTGAAGTCCTGGTAGTGATGAATAAAGTGGCAAAATCTCTACTTATTCTCACAAAATCAGTGTTTCACTGACCCTCTGAACTATACCACACATCTCCCAGCCTGCCTCTACCACCACCTAGGAATCATTTCATGTGAAAAATTGTGGCACAGGGCAGCCACATATACTGGAATTGTATTATATGGCCCAGAAAGGCCCAGAGTCTTGTGTTCACATTTGTGAACCAAGGGAGGAAATGCAGATTCCTCTCCAAGCTCCTTGGTATGCTTGAAGTCCGTATGCTCCTCAGCTTAAAGATGCGTCCTAACCCTTCATCAATGGAATTTCCCAGCATTATCTCTCTGTTCATGTATCAATATGTGTCCAGACAATTTCTTTGGGCCACGCAGCTGTTTTGTTATGAAGCAAGAAGCTGATAAGGCCAGTGGGAGAGGAGGGCAGTGCACTGACCCAGGCCGAAATAGCCATTGCTCCTCGGGGAGATAAGTGTCTCCCGCTCCATGGGAGGGCCTCTGGAGTGACCAATGAGTGTGGACAGGCACCAAGGTCCGCTCTCCCCTTCCCCTTTATAACCAGGGCTGCCGAGGTGGGGAGTCCAAACCTGCTCCGAGCGGTCACTGCAAGGGACAGAGCCAGCACCTCCTGCACGATGACGCTGACCCAAGCCGAGAAAGCCGCCGTGGTCACCATCTGGGCCAAGGTGGCCACCCAAGCCGATGCCATCGGGGCAGAATCACTGGAGAGGTAAGGCCCCAGCACTCCCCCAGGGAGGGTCCCTCACAGGGCATCGCTGTTGGGATGCATCCCAGGTCGAACCTGGGTGAGCGAGAGCAGGCTGGGACCGCTGAGAGTTGATGGGGAGTTGTGTTGTTTGCAATGTAATCATCAGGAATTATATCTGGGCTACTAAATGCTTCAAAATCTCATGGCAAGCCACTACTTTCTAAACAATTCAATAGGCTTTTTTTTCTCTTTATAGCAATTCAGAAGAATTCATAGCCAGGAGCACTGGGAAGGAATTCAAAGTCATTTATACTCAGTGTCCTGAAACAGCATTATCCCTGTTAGGGGATGAACTTGAAGTGGTTTATTGTACAAATGATGCACTTTCTCTTACCATTTCTAAAATAATAGCTATCCACTAAATTCACTGAATACTCAGATCTCATTGTTCCAGTTGATAAGTAACAAACCCTTAGGAAAAAAAGACAACTGGATGCCCTGCATGCAGCACCACACAGTAATCCAAGATTCATACCAATTAAGCAAGCTGGCAAAAAAGAGATAATAGTCTGGAAATTGTTCAGAAATTCTTATCTTTTTCCACGTTATTTAAATTTTATTTACAGCTCACTATAAAGTATTGTGATTCTCCTTCCAGGACTCTGAGTACCACTCACATTGATTCTGGTTTGTTCGGCTCATTTTAGTTTGAAGGTCCTGGAAACTGGGTTACAGTGTACAAGAGGAAATTTGGTACAATTTGGGGCTATCTTTTATTAAAAACAAACAAAAGCATAAATACATTAGGTTTTAAATTATTTAATTCTTCTCAAGTACGCACAGATTAGCCTGCTGTCCAATCTGCACGTGCTGCAGGAGAGCTTTAAGAGCAGAAAGACCTTCCCAATGCAAACTTCAAGCCCCCAAAGCTCTGTTACACCACTGAAGGAGCTGAAGGTTTGCACTACACTTGCTCAGGGTTTTTACCACCACATGGATGCCATTTCCACTGCTGACCCTCATTCTCGTGTTCTCCTCCAGGCTTTTCTCCAGCTACCCCCAGACGAAAACCTACTTCCCTCACTTCGATCTCAGCCAAGGCTCGGCTCAGCTTCGTGGTCACGGCTCCAAGGTCATGAATGCCATCGGGGAAGCCGTGAAGCACATTGATGACATTCGAGGAGCTTTGGCCAAGCTCAGCGAGCTGCACGCTTACATCCTCCGCGTGGACCCCGTGAACTTCAAGGTGAGTGAGCACGGACACTTCCACGGGGGGAAACTGCCATCACAGAATTAGAGACCACAGGTCACTTGGGCTAATGGCACCTTGATCCCTGACTGCACTGCACGGCGTGTTGGCCACCTGATTTTTAACCTGAGATTGGATCTTTTAGTGAAAGATCTGGCCTAGTGCAGGCAAAGAACTGGTCAGGGGGCTCCTATGGTTTGTGTTAGACAGACTCGAGTCTCTACTGCCTTTGCTGTAATTCATGAATCCCCCTCACACATCAGTCTACATCACCTTGAACAAAGTCTTAATAAATTCTAAACATTTCCACTTTGTTGCATTTCCCTTTGGTGAGGAAGGAAGGGACAATTGGAAGAGGGAGTGGGAGCAAGCAGTGCCTTTTACCCTTTTGGTTGAGACATGTAGTTATCATCCCAGAGCATGCTGGGCCCAAGCTCCATTGCAAACCCCTAGACTAACATCTGATACTAATCATGGTGGATTTAACCCTGTTTTTCCCTACAGCTGCTTTCCCACTGTATCCTGTGCTCCGTGGCTGCCCGCTATCCCAGTGACTTCACCCCAGAAGTTCATGCTGCATGGGACAAGTTCCTGTCCAGTGTCTCCTCTGTCCTGACTGAGAAGTACAGATAAATGGCCTCCACAGAGGGTGAGGGAGGCACATCTCAGGCTCTGGGGAATCACCCCTTCCTAGGCAGCGCTCTCAAATCCCCACTGCAGGGGTTTGGTCATCTGCAAAACCCAATAAATAATTCAAATGTGAGCAATGGTCTCTGCGCTTTTATCTCCATGTGTGCCACCTGCACCTGACTGTGCAGGCAGGGGTGTTCTGAAATGGAGGGGGAAAGAGCAAGCTTTGTAAATTCTTGTACTAATTCACATACTCATGAATTAGTATACCAGTTCATGTGCTAAGATGTACAAATTCAGTGGGAATAATGTAATATTCAGCGGGAACAACACACCACTGAGCAGGTGCCCAGAACAGGCTACAGCCCTGTGGCTGCTGCTGCTCACCAAGGTATGTCCACCACAGACTGTTTACAGGCTGACCAGGAAAGAGTCTTTTGCCCTGCTAGGATGTGGAACAGGCCCAGGCTTTTTGTTAGGCCTATCCAAAACCCATCCCAGCCTGTTGGGAACAAAACCTATGTTGCCATGTGTTGTGATGCTGGGCATTGTCTTTTCATGCCTCTGTCCATGGGGTATGGACATGGTATCTAATGTGCTTCATGAACACCTGCTAGACAGGTTTGCTAAAGGGACCATCCCCTCAGCTTGACATTTCTGATTTTAATGTGGGGAATTTTACATGGATTTGAAATTTGGGAAGGTGAGGGATTCTCCATCTATACCTGTTGTGGGTTAACCCCAGCAGGCAGCTAAGCACTACACAGTCACTCACTCACTCACTGCCCCCCTTCAACTGGATGAGGAGAAGAAGAAAGGAAGAATAAAAGCAAGAAAAATTGGGGGTCAAGATCAAACAAACAGAAATTATTGTTTAATAAGTGAAGAATAAGTGGAAGAAGAGGGAAGAAAACAAAACAAAACAGTTGACACAAAGGCAATCACTGCATTTCATGGGTAAACTGATGTCCAACCAGTTCCTGAGCAAAAAAGAAGCTTAACCCCCCCGCCTAAAACTCCCTTAAACCCTCTCTTTTCCATTTTATTGCTGAGCATGGAGTTATATGGTATGAAATACCTTTTTGGTTAATTAGGCTCATCTGGTTGTCTTCCCTCTCACTACCCTAAAATCAATTATTCCCTGGGTGGGGGGAGAGTGAAAAGCAGAGACAGCCTTGATTCTGTGCAAATGCTGCTCAGAAAAATCTGGAACATCAGCCTGTTACCAGGGCCGGTTTGGCCAAAAATCTAAAGCACAGCACCACCTGAGCTCCCATCTCAGAGGACTTCTGACATGAAAAGGTGGGTGCAAAGCCTTAAGCCTGCTCTGATAGACAGCCTGAGCTGGCACTGCAAGCAGTGATTCTTGTCTCATTCATGGAATTTAGGGACTGGGTTTGGGCAAGGGGGAAAAAGGTGGTGCAGAAGCTCTCAGGCCACCAAATGGCTCTAAACCTGTCACTCAGTGTGCCACAGCAGCTTTTAAAACATTCTGAATCTGTGGGTCTTGGCTAATCTGCAGGTTTAAATCCATGACTTAGGTGGTCAGCATCTGGTATGTCCCAGAGGCTGAGAGAAGGATGTGGCAGTCAGAGGAGCTGGCCTCAAGTTGCACTAGGGGAGGTTTAGGTTGGATATTAGGAAAAATTGCTTTGTGGAAAGGGTTGCCAAGCCCTGGAACAGGCTGCCCAAGGCAGTAGTGAAGCCACCATTCCTGGAGGGATTTAGAAGGTGTGTAGGTGTGGCACCTGGGGACACGGTTTAGTGTTGGCCTTGGCAGTGCTGGGTTAATGGTTGGACTTAATAGAGGGCTTTTCCAACCTGAATGATTCTATTATTCCATAATTCTATGGTTGTATGTCCAACCACCATGTACCCTTACTGGATGTCCCAGTGTTTATGGGGAGAGGCAGGAGCACATGCCATGGTGGGAAGAAGGGCAGGAGCCCAGGCCTGACAAGCATCTCAGGACAGACTGGGTCACAGCGCTTACCCTCCATCCTCAGGCACATCCCCTTCCCTGCCCAGGTGTCTCCAGGCTGCTGGAGGGATGGTGTTTGTCATGGCAGACCCCCAGCGTGACCCGTGGCTCATACTCAGAGGCCATGGGGTCCCTTGGGGCAGAGAGGGGCTGGATGTGCCAGAGCCTGGAGGACATGAGGACCAGGGACACTTGTGGGACTCACCCCAACACCCACAGAGCCAGGCAGGGCCCTGGCCCATCCAGGGGGACTGGTGGGTCACAACAAGAGGCTTGAGGACATTCTGGCCAGGGCAGACAAGGCTGTGACACCCACGGGACATCCCCAAGGGGCAGCCTGGCAAGGTGCTGCCCCCAGCCCCCAGCCTGGTGTGGGGCTGGTGCAGTGGGGCAGGGCAGGGTAGCCGGGCCCCCCGGGGGCCTCCTTAGGGCTGGGCCCCCCAAGGCAGCCGGGGCCCCCGAGGCAGAGCCACAGCCACTCCCTGGGCCGGCTGTGCCCCCGCCCCTCGGTGTGATAAGATAAGGCCAGGCAGGGCTGCTGGCAGCTATAAGAGGGCGTCCCCAGGGGTGCTGCTGCCACCAATCCCTGCCTACTCCAACCGCCGCCATGCTGACCGCCGAGGACAAGAAGCTGGTCCAGCAGGTCTGGGATAAGGTGTCCGGCTGCCAGGAGGATGTTGGAGCTGAGACCCTGGAGAGGTGCAGGCTTGGGGACCCCCTGGGCAAAGGGGATGAGTGGGTGGGAGCCCCACGGAGGGGCCGGTGTGGTGGGTCCGGCTGGGCGAGCACCTCTGACTGTCCCGCTCCCCCAGGATGTTCGCCGCCTACCCCTCGACCAAGACCTACTTCCCCCACTTCGACCTGCACCATGGCTCTGACCAGATCCGTGGCCATGGCAAGAAGGTGGTGGCTGCCCTGGGCACTGCCGTCAAGAACCTGGACAACCTGAGCCAGGCTCTGTCTGAGCTCAGCAACCTGCACGCCTACAACCTGCGTGTGGACCCCGTCAACTTCAAGGCAGGCGGGGGACAGGGGGCAGGGGATGGGGGACAGGGATGGGGGATGAGGATGGGGATGGAGAATGGAGGACAGGGGATGGAGGATTGGGATCAGGATGGGGGACAGGGGATGAGGGACGGGGGACGGGGGATAGAGGATGGGGGAGAAGAGGTGGCTGATGGGGATCAGGATGGGGGATGGGGATGGGAAACAGAGGATGAGGGACAGTGGACAGGGTTTGAGATGGGGGACAGGGGATGGGGGATGGAGACTGGGGGACAGGGGATGGGGGACAGGGATCAGGATGGGGGACAGGGGACAAGGGACAGGGATCAGGATGGGGAGCAGGGGATGGGGGATGGAGACTGGGGGAGAGGGGACAAGAGGCAGGGACTGGGAAGGGGCCCCGGGGCTGTAGCAGCGGTGCTTAGCCCCGTTTTTCCTCGCAGCTGCTGGCGCAGTGCCTCCAGGTGGTGCTGGCCGTGCACCTGGGGAAGGACTACACCCCCCAGATCCACTCTGCCGTCGACAAGTTCATGTCGGCCGTGGCCTCCGTGCTGGCTGAGAAGTACAGATGAGCTGCCACCTGTGCCCGTGTGCCGCCAATAAAGACTCTTTTGCCGCAGCGCTGAGTCCGTCTGTGCCGGGGCCGAGGGCTGGGGTGGGCTGGAGAGTGGCAGTGCTCCTGCCGGGGGGAAGGGGCTACCAGTGAGACCAGCTTTGGTACAGGAAGGGTAGCACTGGCCATGGGCTCCGTGGGTGTCTACCGGGGTCCTACCTGCTTCCACCCCTCCCCAGCATGGGATGCAGCCGACAGCAGGACCCCTGGAATGTAGTTCAGCCTGGCACTGGCTGTGCCTGCACCCCTCCAGGGAGCAGGGGAAAGGCTGTGCCAAGACAAATTTGGCCCTTGCGTCCCTTTGAAGGATTCTCGGGGTGGGTGGGTGGGGGAGGATTAATCCTGCCTTTCTCCATCTATCAAGATGGCTGTTTGGGACTTTGTTAGGGATGCTGTGGGAGCTAAGTTGCTTGCATGGGCTCCAAAAGCAATCAGAGAATTCATGGGAGTGAAAAAAATCCACCACAGATCATTAAGCACAAAGCCCCTGAGCCACAAATCCCAGCTGGCTGGCAGGGAAGAGCCCCTGCACCCATCCCAGGTGTCTGCACCTCCCCTGGGACATGGGCAGGCTCGGAGTGGGGTGGGCAGAGCTGCAGTCCAGCACAGGGACGCTGGTTTCAAGGCTTTGGAACCTGAATTTAAAAAAATCCCTGGTCACAGTTGATGGGCTGTGAGACACTAAACTAGCCCTGGTTTTGCTCTGTGCTGTGACACCGGAGGAAGGAGATGAGGTCCTGCAGGAGAGGGGTGCCTGGGGTGTCCAAGTGCAGGCAGAAGGCAGGTATGGGGTGTGCAGGGACCCTGCCTGCACACAAACACGGCTGACAGTCCTTGGCCATGCCGGCCCCTGCTCCTGCAGGTGAACCCACAGCGCTTATCCTCCATCCTCAGACACATCCCAGTCTACATCCCAGTGTGCTCATGTGCATTTACACCCATTTATTCTTGTGCCACCGGTCTGAAGTGTTCTGCTGCCTTGGCACCTTCCCCCCAATGCACACAGGCTGTCCTGCCGCTGCTTCCCAGAAGATCAGCCCCCCCCTGTCCCTCCCCACTCTGAATTGGTGCCAGACCGAGCTAATCTCCCCCAAACACAAACGATAAGAACCGTCGGCAATGGAGGAAACACGGGTGTGAACTGTCCCCTGCTGGACTGTGCCAGCTCCCAAACCTACTGGAAGCTCCACAAGCCCCTTCACCCTCCTCATCTTCTTCACCATCCTCATCTACCTTGCCCTTGTCACCCTCCTCATCTTCATCATTTGAGGCACATGGGTCTGGCCATAAACCACCGTGGCCCAGAGTGTGTTCCTTCCCACAGCACTGGCAGCAGTGCCGATCCCCGTGGGCTCTGCCAGGTGTCCCCCCTTCCCAGGAGTCCCCCAGTCCCCACAGCACTGGCACCAGCACAGGCTGTGAGCAGGAGAGAGGGCTGGGGCAGGGGAGCTCCGGGGTCTGTGTGCAGAGGGATGGGACGGTGGTTCGAGGAGCAGGGGC